AAAACCTGTTATAGCTCAGAGCAGAGCTGTCTAATGAACAATAGAGCTCAGTCAGACAAAATCAGATTTATACGAATGATGTTCAACGTCATATTAGGACTGCTGAAGCGTGCAGTCTTAAACTCTTACAAAGTGTGCTTTCAAGTGAACATAATGAGGACAGTTGAATATTGGAGGTCTTAATAATCTCTCTTCAGGTCACTGCGTTAGTCAGAGGCTTCACTGAACTGAACAAGGGATTTATAAATGTTTCCAGCTTTCTTAAGCTCTAATTTTGACCCAAGATCATTTAAATCTTCATGTAGTTTAGACTTAAAAAAGTTTGACATTCAATAAATGATGACACTGAATTTCACTGGAATTGGCAATCAGGGTTTATAAACAAGAGATGTCACGTCAGAATTGTGTTCAATGTCAGTCTTTGCACATTAAATCATGACAAAACCTAAAGGTGTATCGAGGCCTCTCCTCACTTCTAGCAAAATATGGCATTGATAGAACAAAGGCAGTAGTCAGGTGTTAGTGTTGTTTTTAATGTTTATGATAATCTTGGGGAATTTTGTTTGGAAAATGTTTAAGGATTTTTATTTTTTTTTTTATATGAGGGATATGTGATGGGTTAAACCAGAGGTGTCAAACATAAGGCCCGGGTGCCATAATTGGCCTGGCAACGACTGGACAGCGTTGGAAAATTTAAATTAGTTGACAGATTTTGATCTTTTAACTGTATTTTCATAGATTTTGGTGCTTTTCCCATTGATAAAGACCTCCACCCCATTTCCAGTCATATTACACCAAAGTACAAGGACATTTTTTGTGAATTAAAGAAAACTTTATACTTTAAATTTATAATTACAGGACAGTCTGGGCAATGATCTACCAGTCGCTTTTCTATATGTTTATCATGTAATTTCTCTGGTCTCGCCCACTTCACATCAGAGTGGGCTGTATGTGGCCCACAGTGTAAAATGAGCTTGACATCGCTGATTTAAATGGTGTTGAAGGCTGTACTCTGTGAAAAATATGATCTATTTTAATCATGTTGTCTTTTCTGTTTCTTTTCTTGATTCATTTGCAGGTCTTTCATTACTATGCGCCAGTTTTAGATTTGGTTCAGCTGGTTAATCTGTCAGACCTGCCAAGCTTCCTGATCTCCAGCGCCCAGTTTGAACTGTATCCTTATTTTAAAGTGTCTGTATCTGTGTGTTTGTATGAATGCTTAAAAATAAAAATAGGATATCAGAACTTTTGCTTCCATCACCAGCCTCAAATGAAACAGCTGCAGGATTAGGTAAGATTTTAGTATGCGTCACACACAAACAGCTTGGCTGTCAGAAACCAAAACAGTCATGGCTATTAATATACATTTTTATTTAATTGTTTTAAGACTTTTTTCTGTCTTTGAAAGGTGGTTTTATAACTTTTGTGCCTCAATATTGTGCTGTTCCTTCACAAATAACAAACAGATGCCTGTCTGGGAAGTCTGTGAAAGCTAAACTTTTGTTGAACCAGCTGCGATCACTGTGTGGAAAGGTACGAGTAACTTAGCTGTGCTCTTACATATACAAAAGTCTGCTACAGCAAGATCCGCCTAACCAAAGAAGCCTGTTCATTACATTAAAGCTCTTCCAAGATCACAAATTCAGAATGTTCATGATTAATCATATATAAAGGGCTTCACATTGCATTGTCTTTGGGGTTTTAAAGCATTCAAACATTCAGACCTTTAGACTTTGTTCGCTCCCACACAGTTTATCCTGCAGT